GTGGACTACAGCCCACTTCTTCAGATGTCCACGAAAGCTTATGCTCTAATAAATTTGTTAGTCTCTAAGGTGCCACAAGTACTCCTGTTCTTTTTGTGGCCTGCAGTATATTCTCCAGGGCTTTGTCCAGTGGATTTCTTTAAAACAAGGTCTCTGCTGTTTCACTTGAGAAACTCGAATAGACACCTCCCTTGAGAAGCTTTCCCTGCTGTATGCTCCTTTGCTCATGTACTGCACCCCATTATGTCTCGTTATACCCGTGAGCGCCATCTTAAACATTTCCTCTTCTCCCTCGGTGTTTCCACCCATCAGACGCTTGCAGGCAGTTATCGCGCTGCCCTCAAACGATCTGCACCTCATTCGTCCCTGCCCTGTCTCACCAAGCCAGCGGCAGGGCCAGAGGGGAACAAAAGCACATTCTCTTCTTAAACACTTGTGTGTAAACAGCCTTCCACGAATGGCTTGCCCCCACCTTTTCCCTCCCTCCCTGCTCCAAGAAAAGATCCAGGCATAAAAAAAAAAGCTTCCCCACAAATTGCAGGTTTCCATTTGTGCGCTCGGACACTCGAGAAATCCGGTGGCAGGAGAGTCTGAGGCCAGAGGAAGGAAATCAGAGTGTCGGACTCCCCCATGAACCAACATCCTGAGCCCTGGCTGAATGTCCCATTTATACAACCATTTCCCCAGATGCTGACAGTCTCAAGGGAAGCTGGCCCAGCCGGTGTCACACCCGTGTCAACTTACACGGGCTGAGGACCTGGCCCCTGTATCTCTAAGGGCAGAGAATTATTTAAGAGTGAAATCATCTGCAGCGCTCCATTCCAGGAACACCCCCTGGTCAGCTCTGCACGGGATCAATCTGTGATCGAGACATCCAACTAAATATTGTCTTCAGGGACGCGGTCCTGCCACCCTTTCCACGGGGGAGGGAGGCCCTGCCTGGGACAGGATTTGGGGAGCCCATGTAGGAGGAGTGCAACCTTTGTATGCTGCACATTGCAGTTTCGGGTGATTCCCCGTGCATTACTACACAGCGGGGATTCAGGGGACGAGGCGAGTCAGAGGACGGATTGGTGGATCAGCTAGTATATGGATCCAGCTGCCCTCACGGAGTGAGGCAGACTGGGGGACTGTCCATGGAGCATTTCCACTGCTGCTTCGTGTCCTGATGAGGACTCCAGTGCATGCTGGGGAGATAGTATGTGGACAAGGGCAGATAATAAGGCCTTCAAGGGTGATGTTTCAAGCAACACCTCCCAGCCCTTTAACTCTGTCTTCATTTTCTCTTCGACCTGCACAGACACACACCCACAAACACACAGTCAGCTTAGAAAACCCCGAGAGCAGCGGCGACTCACCCCAGCCAAACAGCGTGAAGCCCCAAAGATACTTCTTCTCAGAGAAAAAGGCCATGAAGATGAGGCTGTGGAGATAGAGCCCTTCCACCAGGATCCAGTAGTAATTGGTCGCCAGGAAGTACAGGAAGAAGGTGACGACGACCTTACAGCCCATCTGGAGTGAGGGCAGAGGGAGAAAGGGGGGTTAAAAATGTGGTGTGAACCTGAAGCAGTGGTAGTTATGGGTTAGCGAGAGCTTGAAAACAAACTGGAGAAGAAAAAGGCTACCATGCAAGTTGGAGAGGCTCTCCAGAGGGTGTTCTACAGGCAGTAACTTGGATTTATGGCTAGAGCCCTGGACTGGGACCAAGGGTTCTAGTCCCACCTCTACCACTCACTTTGCCTCCATTTTAGACTGTAAGCTCTTCAGTGCAGACACCAATACTACCTGCTTGTACAGGACTTAGATCAAGTGACTGCAGTTGAGACCTCTAGGCACTATTCCAATAATAAGGAGGAACATCTTATAGGGCTTGATCCTCAGATGGCGTAACTGCATTAACCTGAGGGGAGCGATGCTGATTTACACCCGCCGAGGATCCGGCCCATAAGGTTTACTGTGGGAAGGAAGTCAGCTCTGAAATCTGATCTCAGATGAACTCTCTGTGGAAGACCCAAGGGGTATTTGGCATGGTTGGGTAGCTAGTCCCATTGGGTTGTCCTGAGCAAGGTCTCATTTTAAGATAGTGGGTTGGATCTGGCATCAATGGAGCTACTATGGATTTATCCCAGTGTAACGTCAGATCTGACCTAGTGTTCAGCTCCTGACTGTTCAGGAGAACATGGGTGAGAAGAGAAGCAGGTGCCCCCACTTCGGGCTGCAATGCACTGGCTGGAGGAGAGAGGTCCTGAGATCTGCCCCAGGGAATTTACCATTCGCCTTTGCGCCTCACCAAGAGCACTCGAAGCCCTGGGTTAGGGCTGCTCAGGATTTTCAAGTGCCATCCCATTGCTTTTACGGACAATTCTTTCTTCTATGCCAGCGACTCATCAAAATGGGATTCTATACCCAGCATCTGTTGCTGTTTGCACGCGCTGGCTCTGGGTGTCAGCATTCTGGGTGATCACGGATTCAGCCAGCGACTCAGGAAGCCATAGATATATTCATATGACAGGGGCACCTTGCACACACACGGTGCATGGGCGGGGGAGCATTGTACAGATGGTAAACAAGCACCAGCACATCCTGCAAGTGAGCTGCAGGTAGGAAGCTGCTCTAGATGGTGCCCTGAGGCAGCAGGTGTGCAACAGATAACAGTCAGCAAGTGCCCTGCTGTAGGCTGAAGGTGCAGACTCCACCGGCAGTAGGTGGAACATTCATTCACTACACACATGGTGAGCATCAGCTCATTGCACCTAGAGGGAGCAGATGCACAGCTGGAGACTGCACCTTTGCAGGAGCCAGCGGGAGCCAGGCTCAGTCCTGGTGCGAGCAGATGCAGCTCCCTGGAAGTCAAAGGGAGCTGTGCCCACTTCCATCAAGGTTGCATTTAGCACGGGGTGAGCGGCAATGGACAGGCAGAGATCACACCTCCAGAGCCAGCCGGTGTACAGCCACAAATGACACCGATAGACACAGCAGGGCTCGGCACCCCGGTGCAGGGCCGGATTCTCAAAAGAACTGCGATTTTCCAAAGCGCTCAGCCACTCGCCTTAGAACAAGGGGAGCGGAGCGCTTTCGAAAAGCCAGCCCCAGTTGTGGAAACTGGGAACTTTGGACAGTCTGAGACCCCCGATTCAGTTCGTATTCCATCACTGTGCCGCAAAACGCTGAAGGCCATGAAGACAGTGGGACGGAGGCAGCTGTACTCTCCGACTTTTAGGCCAGAAGGGGCTATTGTGATGATCAAATCTGACCTCTGGAATAACACAGGAAGAATTTCACCCGGAACTTCAGTGCTTTGCTGGATCAGTACAGACTGCTGCATCCACGCCTGGGAAAACCTAGCCCTAAATATGCAAGTCGGTTGAGTCAGATTTAACCCGGGGATTGCTTTAATTAGATATAGAACGTTAACAAAACTCAGTGCTGTCTCAGCCTTACTGCACAGTGGTATCCACGACATCATAGCTATGGAGTGACGATTCCGCACTCCAAGCACAGGGGAACGACCACAGCAAGTAGGGTTGCCAGGGGTCCGGTTTTCGACCGGAAAGTTTGGTCGAAAAGGGAACCTGGCAGTGTCCAGTCAGCATTGCTGACTGGACACTAGAAGTCCGGTTACCTGCAGTAACCGGCCTCCACCACCACCCGGCGGAAAGCGCAGCAGCTGCGGCTGGAGCCTGGAGGACCTGCCCTCTGCTCAGCTGCTCATGGAGAGAAGTGGCTAACTGGCTCTTGGCTGGCTCCAGTCTCTCTGGCAGATATGTTGGGGTGTGTGTGTGTGTGTGAGAATCCTGTTGGCCCACGCCCGCCCCGCTGTGCTCCGATTTCTCCACCCTGGCCCTCTGCTCCAGGGATCCCCCCCACTCTCCATGCCCCGATTGGGCAGGCAGGCAGGTACCGTGTCAGCTCCTCCTAGCCCAGCTCTGCAGGTGGCAGGTGAGTCCCAGGATGGGGGGGCGTGAGCAACAGAGGGGAGTAATGAGCAGGGGGTGGAGCCTGGGAAAGAGGCAGGCCTGGAGGCGGAGTCTCAGGGAAGGGGCAGGGGAGCGGCAGGGTGTTTAGTTTTCAGCAGTTAGAAAGTTGGCAACCCTAACCGCAATGTACATCCCACATTGCAGTAATCGGTGCGTGCAATGCTGACCCCATCCTTTGCCCTGTCCCACCCCGCTGCTGACGCAGGATTGTTCCTGACAGTGGATTTTATAGGGCTTCGTGCAGTCCCTTTTAAAATGACTCCGGCGAGTGAGCTTGTGACTGGTCAAAAACTCATCAAAACATTTTTCTGTCGAAAAATGCCATTTTGGTTAAATTGATTTTTTTTTTACGCAAACTTGAATCCATTACAATGACATTTCATAATGAAAACGTTTGGAAAAAATCATTTTGAAAATGACAGAATGTCTCGTTTTGACATTTTCCGACCAGAAAGTTTCCATTTCTCTTTTCAAAGCGACTTTTAGTTCAAAATGTGCTCTATTTTCTGGTTTTTAAAATTAAAAATGTTGGAAATTGAAACCAAACATTTTGATTGACCTACAATGAACCTTTCTGGGGACTTCGGTTTTGTGAAAATGTCCAAATTTTGGCTTTTTGTCCCAATTTGGGAAGCTCCCCCCCCCCCCCCAATCTCGAAATTTTTTGCAGGATGGACAATCCATTTTCTGACCTGCTCTACTTAAAACATGTCCTCCTGGGACAGTGCATATAGACACTGCCTCTTGCTCAGAGAATATTCTAAAGTGAACAATGTAGCCCAGCATGACTGGCACAGAATTGCCTAGCTCATGCCCTTTTCGGTGGCTAAAAAGAGGAATTTTCAGTGTGCAGAGCTGTCTTTCTGTTAAAGACAAAGAGTGAAAAAAATATATAAAGAAGATATTTTTTTTTAAAATCCTATTCAAATGATACTTTCTATATTCTTAGAAAATTACCATCCACCCACACTTTAACAGCCCAAGGAAATAATTATGGAGCTCCCACTTTCTTTGGAAATAAAGTAATATATTAATCATTGCGAAACCCTTTAGGTACTTATTTGCTTTTGAAGTTCATGAAATAGAAATCATTTCTTTCTGGTTATTTATTACACAAAATTTCTTTATGAATGCAGCAAAGTACATGCATTCTTTGCAAACGCTGAGTGTTTTCCTTTTAGTTGATGTTGGCTAGTGCGGAGCTAATGCAATAGCCGACATCTTGACCAATACAAGGAATCAAATTGAAGATTTTTTGAATTAAACATGAGTCACTAAAGCTTGAGGTAAAGTGGCACGGTCTGTAATAGACCCACATCCTCTGCAGAGTGGGGACACGTAACTAAAACTAAGAAAATAACGGATTTGTCCATTCAGGGGCTGAACCGAAAAATCCGGAAAAAAATCCAGTTAGATTTGAACCAAAGCCTTTTTGTTGTTGTTATTGAAGCACTAAATGTTTCAGACAATTCAAAGCAATATTTGGGGGGGGGGGTGAAGGGGAGGGGCTATTGTTTTGATTCAGCCATTGGGTGTGTGTGTTTTAACTGGCCAAATTTGAAATTGAAATGCGATTTTGATTCAAAAAGTCAAGCTGAAATGTTTGGAATCTTCCAACAATTTTTCCCCAACCAAAATCATTTGTCGGATTCAACCAGATTTTAGCAAATAGTTTGGGGGCCCAAAAAAAAGCATTTTTTAATTTAATTAATTGCAATTTTTTGGCCCAGCTCTTCACGTCACACATGGTATTCACCAGGCTATGCTAATGTGTGAAGTGGCATTACTAGTTCTGAAATAGCCCTCTAACGTTTCAAAATTCAGAACACATCCGGGGAACGGGGGAAGCGCTTTTCAAACTGGCAGATATGTGGCTACAGGAATAACCCACAGTTTGCCATTTCAGGGCCAGTTCCTACATATAAATTGGCACAGTTCCACCAACTTCCACTAGGTGAAGAATTAGCAAAACCTTCAGGCCTGGGACCCTTCATAGAATATCAGGGATGGAAGGGACCTCAGGAGGTCATCTAGTCCAACCCCCTGCTCAAAGCAGGTCCAATCCCCAGACAGATTTTTGCCCCAGATCCCTAAAAGGCTCCCTCAAAGATTGAGCTCACAACCCGGGGTTTAGCAGGCCAATGCTCAAACCACTGAGCTATCCTTGACCTTAGCATGTGGTGAGTTCTACCAGAAACATATCAATACATAATAGTAATAAACGACAATGGGGACAGCCAATTACGGTGAAAGTCAACATGTAGAGGTGACAATGGAATCTGTCTCCAAGTCTCTGCCACAGGAGTGTCAGATGGCCTAGAAACGGCCGCTGAGTGATGTCTGCATGGTTTGTACCGAGACGAGCTGCCGAGCGGAAAATCATTTCATGATGTACTCTGGTGGGAGAACGACATGTCGGGAAACTTATGTGCTGACATATCTGGTGGAACGGAGGCACGGATATTGTTCAAAAAGGGAGTCTCTCCCCAGCCACTACGGGTATATTGACACATCCTGTGGCAGCCCACGGCAGCAAACCTCTAAGCCCAGGCAGACCTGGGCACGTGCTACAGTGTTAGACAGCACTTTTAAGTTGCATCTCGGACTGGAGTTCAACCTCTGAAACCCACCCTCTCCCGAGGCTGCAGAGCCCCGCGCGGTAGCCAGAGCGGCAACATCTCTATGGCTCTGTAGCATGAACCCTACAAGCCCAAGTCTGTCAACCTGGGCTCTCAGGCTCACTTCCGTGGGCTGTGTAAACGTATCCTTTGTACAACGGGGCCCTGACGTTGTTCTTTAAAGAGGAGGTGCCCATCTTTCCACATAACGGTGCTGGGAATGGCCCCAAACCCTAGCTCTGGTGTTACCTGGGATGACTAGGGGTGAAGAACTTGCATTGGTCAAGCAGACCAGATGGTTCTCTTGGGTCATTGCATATAAATCGTGGGCTGGGTTCCAGGGAAGGTGTAAGAGGGGATGTGGAAGACGTTGTGGTTTACTAGGTGGGGAAGAGGGGTCGGATGTCTCAGTCTCCCATTGGGGAAAAGGCAGGAAGTGGATAAGGCCCCAGATCACCAGCGAACCCAGGGTGAGCCACACAAGAAGGAGAGGTTAGACGTAACCGGCCATACAGCAGTACTCACAAACTGCGACTTATCCGCTGGGGGGGCCTCGGTAATGGACATGAGGTCTTCTTCAGACAGATGCTCCATCTCCTCCAGAGCCGACCCAGAGTACAGGACCGCGTCCTTCACAAAGATGCTGACCGCTCTCAGCATGAAGGAGACAAACAGGTGCATGTGGATGTAGTTCCTTGTGCAGTGCAAACGCCTGGAAGTGAGGAGGGAAGACACACAGGATTGGAACAGTTTAGACGTCCAACTGGGCCTAGTCAAGCTCAGCTGTGCTTCCTAATGGCACCGTGGGGTCGAACGATTCCTCACAGTGCTGATAGCCCAGCACACCTCTTCTCTCAGGAATGCCGTGCCCCTGCAGTGACCCAAAGCTACAGCCACAGGCCCATTCCAGTGCAAATTCACCCCTGGCGTAACCCAGGGGACTGGCTGGAGGCTGAACAAAAGCCACCGAGGCAGCTGACCTCGCAGTCGGGTGGGATAGGAAGACTAAAGTATGGGGGATGGGCTTAAAGGTCCCTGAGATGTCACACTCAATTATATTCCCTGCAGGTAAGATGTAAAATTAAGGCCCAAGAGAATTGTGGTCATTTGTGGCACAGGGTTGTTTGTCCCTGTGTTAATAATTACATCCTATCTGGCTAGATTCCCTCTTCAGCTTCAATTCGATCTAATATTCTACTTCCCTTCCTGTTGTGTAGTGTTGGGTTTTTTTTACTTATTGGGGTCCAGGAAGTGGGCGGGCGTAAGCTAAAGGGTCTCCCCCCCAGACTAAGGGGAGGATCCACAAGTGGCCAGGGCTTCCTTCAGCCGGGGCGCTTGCCACACGGCCCCTCCCGCCACACCGCCTGCCGGGAGGGCTCCATGCCGCTCCCGCCTGCAGGTGAATTGAAGGTCAGCAGGGAGGGAAGGACGCAGGCTGCCGGGCTTGCTGCAGACCTGGCACTGGCTGGGGCAGACGGAGCGTGCAGCCCGCTCCCAGCAGGGTGCTCCCCTCCTCCGCGCCGCCGTCCCCTACAGGGCAGCCGGAGCAGTGAACCAAAAAAATAAATAAATAAAGGCGGCCGTGCCACCGTAGGATTGGGCGGAATGCCACGCCTTACAATCTGCCGCCCCAAGCACGAGCTTGCTCGGCTGGTGTCTGAAGCCCAGGGGGTGGCCCAGAATCAGTACTCGGGATTTCTGGGTTCCCTGCCCAGTGCCAGCTCTGGGTGCAGGTTACAGCAGTCTGTTGGCTGCTCTAAATTCTACCAGCTGGCTGTGGTCCTCAAAGGATGGGGATGGTACAGTTTCCTTGCCCAGGTGAGATTGCAGGAAGATGGACCAATTCCAGGGGCAGGTAAGGCTAGATGCCACTTCTAAGGAGCGCCGGACTGCTGTGCTACTCAGCTTGATTTAATTATTTGTTTTTGCTCTACTGTGATTGGCCAGTTTTGCTCCAATCATTAGCCAGCCCCTTTGTTTCGCTCCGCCCCATGAGCGCGAGAGTACCGAAAACATTTTCCATCCTGGTCAGCAAAACGGCTCTGGCCGCTCCTGGCAGGGACAAGGTGTAGGATCCAACTCTGTTGGCTCTATGCCCCCCATGCTGGGAGAATCCCTACCTTGGTGCTTATAGTCTATTTCTGCTTCCTGTGCACCACAAGGGGACCAAAGAATCAGCGCCATTGCTTCCATGTGCTCCATTCAGCTCGAATCCCTTTCACAGACAGAGGCATTGGGTCTGGAGCTCTGTCTGTCTGCTGTGATTACATCAGGATTTGGGGGGGGGGGGTTCTACCCAACCCCAAGAGGTTTGTTTGAATGGCACCACACACAACCCAACCAGTAAATATTAAAACAACCCCTGTGTCTGATAGATGAAACACACACACAAAAGGAGGAGCTTTGTTATTGACAAAAACCTAAGTCTCCTTCAGTCCACTCCAGGTGACCTGTGTAATTAAACTGATACCCCCCCCAAAAGGAAAAACAGAGCCGCCTACCTGAAGTATCCCAAGATAAGGACAGCAACTGTCAGGGATCCCAGAGAGATGGAGTATCCAACAGTATAAATCAAATAGAGGCGATAAAAGACCTCCTGCAGCACAAATGATGAGGGGGAAAAACAGTACCAAATTAGAATGAATTCTGCTTTACTGTAACCCAACAATACTAGCAGCATAAAGATTCGGGCTGTTTTGTCTGCTGAGAACAGAAACACAAAGGTCAAAGAAGCAGTGAGAGCATATGGGAACAGGATATCATGTGGTCTTCTGAGTACATGGACAGCATGCAAAGTGCTCCCCCTATTTCCTAGTGAACTAAAGTTACTGTGAATTTTGCAGGAGAGTCAGGATTTATGTGGGTGTGTCAAATTAGACTTATGCAGCATCTTTCATCCCCAAAGATCCCAAAGTGGATTGAAAACTGTTGGCCAAATCCTGATGTCCTTTGTTGGCTCTTACTCAGGCAAAACTCCCATTGATTTCATTATGATTTTTGCCTGACTAAGGACGTGTAGGATTTAGCCCACAGGATATGCAGCACCACTGACATGCAACCAGCTCTGGGGTGGAGGGCGTCAGCACATAACACAAAGATGCATGGAGGAGAAATTTGGCCCAGGGATGCTAAGAGAAAGCACCTGTTCTTTCAGAAGTGCCTAAGAATCGTTATTGTCCATGCAAGACTTTGGTTTGCAAAGTCTCATCAGAAAGGTCTCCTTGCTTTAGACTGCATCAGTCTCTAGAGATCAATCTTGCATTAAGGGTACAGACTAGATACTTAAGAGGTCTTTTTCACCTCCAATTTCTAAGTCACAGCTTCAAGGAACCTTCTCTTGCAGGGAGTCTCCATGCTCTCAAGGAAGGAACAGATCTGTCGCAGGTTTGAATATCAGCTTTAGCAGGGTTAAAACATCTACCAACATGACAGATCATCATTTCGTCTTCTGAACAGAGAAATAAACTCAGGAAGAAACCAACCAATTCAGCATCTTTCTTCCTCCTCCCTCCCCCACCCCGGAGTTTCATTAACATTAGTAACGCTGGACTCAGAATGACAGTTCTGATTTTGATCTGGGGCTAGAAATGCCACACTAGAATGCTAACCACAAGCCCTATTACATCAGAATACCCAGCCCTGGGAACATGTCCTTGTGGTTTCCTCCGGCGGAGTGCTGGGCTTGCCAATGTTCTTTTTTTGTTTTTCAAGCAGTGGTTGCAGGAGGCAAGCAATACCGGGCTTAACTTACTTCTCCCCCAAGGAAGCTGGGTATGCTGGCTGTGCTGAAACATGTGCTTGCATCCACCGCAATGGCTTGTGCTCCAAGATGGGATCGTGGTGGCGAAGAATTACTACGCCAAGCAAGCAGACCAAAATCCTTTCTCCTTCCCCATTCAGAATTTTAAGTGGAAACACCCACGTCCCCATCAGACAATGGCTGGATTGTAGCAGCTCTGAGTGTGCTACCGAAAGGGACCTTCTGATTGGCCAGTAGATGTTCTAAAGCGCATGGTTAATTTTTCTGTTTAAGCACGGGGGCCCTCCTTTGAAATGATGGTGACACAAAGGTGCCGAGCACACATGCATGCATGCGCGCGCGCACACACACACGCACATACACACACACACGCGCGTGCATAAACACGTGCACACACTTGCAAGCATAGGAAACAAAATGAAGTTCAGGTAACACAGAGGCATCATGGGAAACCAGATTGCTAGGCTCACAGACATGTAGGAAGAGACCTGTTGGATGATGGGAGCTGTTCCCTTGCTGGGCAGAATACAGTCCCCTAACTGAGTGCTGAACTGTGGCGGTGGGAAGCGGGGATACACTGCCCCAGAAGCAGGTCCCAGAACCACCCTCACTGATTTAAGCCAGATGCTCCCAGGACCCTGCTCAGCATGGCCTATGAAAGGGCACAGTGCACTTGGGGAGAGGCTGGTGCATCCCCATCCTTTGCTCCTCCCCATCCCATAACTAGCTTGCCGCAGTCCTTGTGCTCGGGGAGTGCAAGGACTGGCGTTCCTGTAATAGGGACAGATTTTGAGGCCCCCCACCCTCCTATTCGCAGCCTAGCCCAAGTCCCAGTTCAGTTTGCTACCCACTAGGCCATCCTTCCCCTCTGTACAATACACCAGGCTCTTTCCCTGGTGCTCGCTCTATCCGACTCGGAACACACCTTTAACAGATCAGCTTAGCGTCGCTAACCCCAGCCACCTGACACTCACGAGTCGTGTCCCTCCAAATCACGAGACTGGTTTAAAAGAATCACCGGGGTTTTAAAAATAATAAACGTGAGGTTCTGTTTAGTTGCCTGCTGGTTTGTGCCTTTGTGTTTTCAAGCTCTTCTCCATAATCATCACGGCTACAAACTTAGCCTTTTTCCAAAATAAAAGCCAAGAATCTCAGCTAATCACCTGACTCCAAGAGCTGGAGCATTCAGAAAAGCCTCAGATATTGTGATCAAACGGCAATGGTCTGGGAAAGGCCAGCTCTCAAGGATGGTAGATCAGAGCCCAGAGCTCGAGAAGCAGTGGCTCGCATTGTGACATTTGATCTGGCATTTATTTGGCCACGAGAGCAGTTTCACATCCATGGTTATGTTCTTGCACCCCGGGCCATGCCATGTTTGTCTTCACAAAACAGACGTTGCTCTCCTCCCTTGCCTAAGAGCTGGGTGATGATGGGAGGATGGAGATCGGGTGGGTAGGGGAAACATCGTGTCCCCCCGGCCACACTGGTGCACTTGTTTCAAATGAAACTCTGCCTTGGCCACGCCTAATTAGTACACTGCTGCAGGCACGGCCAAAGCAAGCCTGCCTCAGCCAGCGCCCGCATGGAGAGGGGATTGGGTACCTTGGCATCACCCAGACGACTGTCTTCCCAGGCGGAATAGCAAAGTCCGGAGGGCATTTGGGTGTGTATTCAAATGGGGCAGATCCCAGGCTGCTGGCTTTGATGGGCTCCTGTCCACTTCCCCCAGCAGCAACGCATCCTGCTGTGTGTTATCCCAGGAGGGGGAGATGTGGAATTGCGGCATCCCCTGGCTCCATCTCTACCTGCCCCCCTGCCGCTGCCTCCACTGGTTCCTGCCAATGCCTGATCTTCTTTCCAGTAAGCAAGCTCCAATGTAGCCCTGTACCTGGGCTCTGTCCTCTGGCAAGAGAGGATGGGCATGGTTCTACCCGTGAGATCTTCCCTCCACTTAGCTGTGCCAGGCATGGCTGTATCTTGGGGACATCCTCCCAGGAGAAAGTCAGGGCTCTTTCCCCATTGTCAGCTGACACTGCTCCTCCTTGAGCCAGCTTTTGTACTTAGATTTCCAGAAAGCCTTTGACAAGGTCCCTCACCAAAGGCTCTTAAGTAAAGTAAGTTGTCATGGGATAAAAGGGAAGGTCCTTTCATGGATTGAGAACTGGTTAAAAGACTGGGAACAAAGTGTAGGAATTAATGGTAAATTCTCAGAATGGAGAGGGGTAACTAGTGGTGTTCCCCAAGGGTCAGTCCTCGGACTAATCCTATTCAACTTATTCATAAATGATCTGGAGAAAGGGGTAAAAAGTGAGGTGGCAAAGTTTGCAGATGATACTAAACTGCTCAAGATAGTTAAGTCCAAAGCAGACTGTGACGAACTTCAAAAAGATCTCACAAAACTAAGTGATTGGGCAACAAAATGGCAAATGAAATTTAATGTGGATAAACATAAAGTAATGCACATTGGAAAAAATAACGCCAACTATACATACAGTATGATGGGGGCTAATTTAGCTACAACAAGTCAGGGAAAAGATCTTGGAGTCATCGTGGATAGTTCTCTGAAGACGTCCACGCAGTGTGCAGAGGCGGTCAAAAAAGCAAACAAGATGTTAGGGATCATTAAAAAGGGGATAGAGAATAAGACGGAGAATATATTATTGCCCTTATATAAATCAATGGTACGCCCACATCTCGAATACTGCGTACAGATGTGGTCTCCTCATCTCAAAAAAGATATACTGGCACTAGAAAAGGTTCAGAAAAGGGCAACTAAAATGATTAAGGGTTTGGAATGGGTCTCATATGAGGAGAGATTAAAGAGGCTAGGACTCTTCAGCTTGGAAAAGAGGAGACTAAGGGGGGATATGATAGAGGTCTATAAAATCATGAGTGATGTGGAGAAAGTGGATAAGGAAAGTTATTTACTTATTCCCATAATACAAGAACTAGGGGCCACCAAATGAAATTAATAGGCAGCAGGTTTAAAACAAATACAAGGACGTTCTTCTTCACGCAGCACACAGTCAACTTGTGGAACTCCTTACCTGAGGAGGTTGTGAAGGCTAGGACTATAACAGCGTTTAAAAGAGAACTGGATAAATTCATGGTGGTTAAGTCTATTAATGGCTATTAGCCAGGATGGGTAAGGAATGGTGTCCCTAGCCTCTGTTTGTCAGAGGATGGAGATGGATGGCAGGAGAGAGATCACTTGATCATTGCTTGTTGGTCCACTCCCTCTGGGGCACCTGGCACTGGCCACTGTTGGTAGACAGGATACTGGGCTAGATGGACCTTTGGTCTGACCTGGTACGGCCGTTCTTATGTTCTTATGTTATGTTCTTCCAGTCTGGACCCTGCTCTCCTGCCCGGCCTGGGAGCCATTCCTTCTGCAGCAGTCTCCTACCACCCAGCGCCAAGCCACACTGGTGAAGCCAGTGCCAAAGCCATGGTCAGGTCTCTTCTCTTGCAGGAGGTAACCTGCATGAGCCCAACGCCTGGGGAGTGGTGGATCAAGGCTCTGCCCACCTGGAGTAGCTGCTTTGTTGAGGCTGCTTTCCCTACCGCCCTGCGACCCGCCACGTGGGAGTCTGAGGATGTCTCACATTGCTTTATGCTCCTGTACGGTGCATAACACCGGTCACAATGAAGAGACACCAAGCCACTAAACGTCACCGCCCATTGTGCCCTGTCTTCCAATGGAACACCAAGAGCAGGCATATGGAGCATCTGGTGCGGGAGAGATGGGAGGACATGACTAGTGTTCCAGGAGGTCTCCATTTTTAGGATGCCCAACTGCAGTTGCCGTGAAGAGGCCTGATTCTCAAAGAGCAGGT